TGGTAGCCCAGGCTGGCCTCGAACTCACAGAGATCCACCTGGCTCTGCCTCCCAAGTGCTGGGATTAAAGGCGTGCGCCACCACCGCCCGGCCTCAGTGACTCTTACTGAAGCTGAACACACGGCCAGGCTCCTGGGGTTCTCTAGCTTCAACTGATATAAGAAGTCCATTTGACCCCAGAAGCACAAGAATGCTTCTCTCTGAGCCCCTGCTGCCAGGACTGTCCCCAAAGGCTCCCACTGCACAGGGGCTCACCCCAGGTCTGTCTGGGAGCAGGGAGGAGGGGCCAAGCCTCACACCGTTCACTGTTGTCCCGCCCTGTCCTCTCTGTGAAGGAAACAACATGTCTTAGCGACAATTATTTATTCTAATAGCCACCCATTCTGAGCTAGGAACACTGGCTGAGGAGGAGGACTAATTGAATTCACCAAGGGAGTTTATCAAGAATGGTGTGTCATTGTGTCTCCTGCGTCAAAGGCCATGCCCTAAAAGCAGTCACCTGTCACTTGAGACACATTAACCCTCAATATTTACCACTTAAGATGGTTCTCGCTCTCTTCCTGGATGTTCTGTCTGACCTTCTGTTCAAAGAGCGCCTCCTTCATCTGTCTGGTTTTGGAGATTTCATCACCCTGGTCCAGGACTGCAGGCAGGAACAGGCAGAGATCACGGCCATAATCAAATCAGTCATTTGTCCAGACAAACACAAGTTTCTAACCATGCTGCCTAACAGACATCTAACTGAGTTTTGTTCATAAATAATAAATGTGACTGGACACATTTCTTTCTTATTCTGCCCCAGGGACTGGTTTATGGCAGACCGAGTGGCTGTTACCTTGTTTTAATTCCTTAATCTTCAACTTTCCCGGTTCTTGGTTTAGGACAGTGGCCACAGCAAATGGATTGGACAGATCTGCTGGAAACCGCAGGTCGTGGTACTCGATTTCCTGGGGACCAAACCGGGAGGGAAATGAGTTTTCTCCCTGCCTTTCCTTTGCACTGGGGGGTGCCCCCACCCACGTACCTTCATTTTCGGAGGCTTGGCCATGGTGGGAGTTTGGTAAAAGTGTACATATCTTGTTTTTTCTGGAGGAACACTTACTTTCTGAGAACGAGTATTTAATCTTTTGAACTCTTCTAGTCTGGAGTTTAAAACAGATGTTAAATTAGTGTATAATCCAACTGTTTGGGTTTGTTTGAATGATTTATTTTTATTTTATGATTGTTGCCTGCATGTTGCCTGTGTACCTGATGAGGCCAAGAGTGCATCTGATTCCCTGGAGCTGCAGTTATAGACAGCTGTGAGCTGCCATGGGGGAGCTGGGAACTGAACCCAGGTCCTCTGGGAGAGCAGTCAGTGCTCTTGACTGCTGACCCATCTCTACACCCCCAGCTCAAGGTGTTTGTTTCTGTGTTCTTTCTGATAAAACTATCATTCATAGATCAATATTATAACTAAACTAAAAGTAAGTTTGTGGGTTAAAAGGAGTCCATGGGAACAAATTTCATATCAGTATATTAACATATAATCATATATAGGTATATGTACTTATGTATGCACACTTATACACACCAGTGGTTGTCTTCTTCCCCCCCCCCAATTCTTTAAAAAAAAAGCCAGTTATTTATTGTGTATGTGTGTGTACATGTGTGTACCATGCATGTGGTGGTCAGAGGACAGCACCACTCTACTTCTGTTGTGTGGGTCCCAGGTACAGAACTCAGGTCATCAACCTTGGCAGCGAGCACCTTTACCTGATCCCTCTCTCCTCTGAATTCCTCATGAATATGGTAAGTGGAAACACAGCAGGCTAGGGAATGCTCTGGTGGTCTAGTATCATTTATTTCTAGCCTGTAGTTCTTCAACAGCTTAAGCTGATTATTTTAGAAACCAGGACTTTGATTTACTTTCTTAGTAAAAGAAGAATTATGCTCTTTGAAGAACAAAAACAAAATGGGGGTGGGGATCTAGTTGGGCTGGCAGAGCTCCAGCCCCTAGGCGTGAAAGCGCTTTATGTAGATTCATCTTGTAATATAAATGTTTTTGTAGTGCTGGGTTGAACCTGGGGCTATGTACATGCCAGCCAAGAGGCCAATGACTGGCCTGCACTCCCAGCTTTAGAAACAAATTTCCGGGGGTATCACAAGAAAAGAGAACATTTGGATTTTTCTTATTTTTTTTTTAAATGCAGGTTCTTGCTATGTAGTCCAGGCTAGCTTTAAACTCATGATCTTCCTGCCTCAACCTCTTCAGTGATAGGATTCCAAATGTGTACCACAATGCCCATAACTGGATTGGATTTTTGATGAAGTGTTAAGTGGAAATTGGGGCTGCGGCTATAGCTCAAGTGGTACTTTTCTAGAATGCACAGAGCCCTGGCTCCCATCCCCAGCACCATATAAACTGGGTGTGGTGGTGCATTGTCTGTAATCCCAACACTCCGGAGGCGGAGGCAGGCAGAATGTCCAAGTCATCGTGGTTCCACAGTGAGTCTGAGGCCAGCCTGGGCTACATGGGTAGACAGAAACACCATGAAGAAGCCATACGGTAAGGCCATGTTGGGGTGGCAGGTTCCAGTGAAGACACATTCGTACGGCTGAGAGTTGAACTGTGAGATCCACAATTGAATTTTTATTTGTGCCATCCCATACTGGATGGGTGTGAACGTGACGGTTACTTTTGTCTTCCCGTTAGCTGGAATTATTCCTGTAAGGAGAGAGAGAGAGGTGGGTGGTGTTGATTGCATCAGTTACTTTTCTTACTGCTGTAGCAAAATATCTAACAAAGGCAATTTAAGGGAGGAGAGTTTGTTCTGGCTCACAGTTTGAGGGGACAGTCCATCATGGTAGGGAGTCATGGCTGCAGGAGTGTGAACAGCATCCACAGTCAGGAAGCAGAGAGATAGCGGCTGTGCTCAGCGCCCATTCTCCTTTTTATTCTGTCTGGGACCCCAGGCTATGGGAAGGGACTTCCCACTTTGATGAACCCATGCCCTGTTCAGAAGTTTTTCTCCCCCTCTGACATTGCCAGGCAAGATGAGCCGTTGCAGAGGTATCTGCTCTGCTCACCAAGTGCCACTGAAGAGGCAACACAAACCCCATCTTGGCAGCACAGCGTGGGTGCGCCTCTGCTTGCTCCACAGTCTCTTCAGTAAGTGCCCAGGACCCAACTTCTGAGTGTTGACACAGACTTGGTTATCAGTGGTTATGCAAATCCTTTCCAACAATCAGCTGATCATGTAGCTATACAAATACGGTCGAAGGCATCTGCATTTGTACCTCAAATGTAAGTTCCCAGAATGCTGACCCTAGAGCAAATGACCAGGATGCAATACCAAAGCTATAAGCCACACGGAAAATTAGGAATACACACCTGGGAGTTTGGGTCCAGACGGTTTAGTTCCCTGTGTTTCTCTGCAGCTTTATTCTTTCCTCTCAAGTCTCCCTCCCTCCCTCCCTCCCTCCCTCCCTCCTTCTCTTCCTCTGGTGTTGGGGCTGTTGCTTGGCAAGTGCTCTACCATAAAGCTACACCCCAGACCTCCTCCTTTCAAATCTTTCAGAAGAACTGGTGTTGCTTTTACCGTCAAACAGCTCACCTTGACATGTTGCTGTATCTCTGGTGCCATTTGGGCTTAGAACACTCACTGTACGTCTCAGCCTGGGCCTCCACAGCCTGAACAAGTCAGGCTGTGCCACTCATCCTCAGTAAGTCATTAAAGAGACAAATTGATAGCGGAAGATAGAAAAAGGAGATTTAGCCAGTGCACGGCCACTGAGAAGGACAATGAAGAGGTGCGATGACCCCCTAAGTCCACCCATGGGGTCCTGACATGAGGTTCAGGTTTAAATAGAAGATAAGAGGTGTGTGCACAGCTAAGCTGTCCTGGTCAAGGTGTGGTCCTACCCATCACTGACCCATCATTATCTCAGGGTCAGTCTCCCTGAAAGGTGGTCTGACAGGCTGTCAGAACTGTGTGACGTCTGTGTGGCTCCTACCTGGATGTTACTTTCCAGGGAAACTGTAAGCTCCCAAGACAGACATCAGCTCACAGCTCTTTTATCGACCTGAACCCTTCCTACGGTACTTTAATAACAGGTAGTTAATAGTTTCTAAGAGAGGGAGAGAAATTCTCTCTAAGTGGTGTTGCCACTGGCAAGGTACCCATGCCCCTGTGGACAACCCCTCCCCCATGCCCCTGTGAACAACCCCTCCCCCATGCCCCTGTGGACAACCCCTCCCCCATGCCCCTGTGGACAACCCCTCACCATGGCCCTGTGGACAACCCCTCACCATGGCCCTGTGGACAACCCCTCACCATG